CCCGATGCTCCCGAGTGCCGCGCGTCCCGAGATCCGCGCTCGCACCCGCGCCCGCTGTGGGGGCCCTGCCGCTCACCCTAGCCTGACTCCCCGCGAGGCGAGCGTGGAGACAGTGAAGGAGGCGCCCGGGAGCCGGGAGGGCGGAGGGGGTGGGGAAGGGGGAGCTGGGGGGGAGGGGCTCTCGGGTAGCCGCTCGGGAGGAGCCCAGGGCTCCTCGCGAAAGTGCGGCCAGAGCCCGGAAGCGTCTGCAGGCCCTGGTGCGTGGAGGAGACGTGGAGGCCTTTCGGGGAACCACGACGACTTCAATGGTGACGCAATTGTGCAAAATTACACAGATGTATCTATTTAAACTCAGTTTGGAAGGCAGGAGCCTGCCTATCGGCCTGCAAATGCTTCACGCAACTAGAAATCAGGAACAGAGGCCAAGAAGGTTATAAAAATAATTAATAACAATAATTAGAAAGACGCACGGAGGCTGGAAGAGTGGTAGGTCTCTGAGCTGAAAACTGGGACTCCTGGCTTATTGCTTTCTCTTCAGCATCACCACCCCACGCCTTTCGCAGCACGAGCTTGAGTCATTTTCTATGAAATTGGTGACTAAGAGATGCAGCATATTGCACCCTCAACCAACCACAAAGGGGCGAGCCCTGTTCAGGAGACTGCAAATGTTATTTGTGCTCCCCCTGGAGGCGACATTGTCCGAAGCTTCCTTTTTTCCCCTCCTAAAGTCCCCAAAAGTATTTGGTTGTGATTCTTGAGATATGATGTGTCCTCATGCTCTGAGATTTGGCCGGGGATCCGGGGTCAACCCTGCGCCTCTGTCTGGCAAGTCCGGAAACACTTGTCTGGCCGGGGCCGTTCAGTGGCCCAGTGCTGCTTTAAACTTACCGCACTGGAGAGACAGGGAAATCTTTCTGACAGGGAAATCGCTTCTACTCACCAGTTCACAGTGGTAGAAAAAACTGTGATGAGAGGGACGTGGGGTCATTTAGACCCTCGCCCTCGGGTTTTGAATGAGGAACTGGTACCTGGGAAGTGGTTACTCCTGGCGGTCGAGAACTTCGGGAGCACTTGGGGGAAATGCTTACCGCGATGTCCTCATTTCATTTTCCCGATCCACGTGGGACCAATTCTCAAATCCGAAACCCAATTTCAAATCTACCAGAAAGATTTCGAGTATCATTCAGAGTTCCTTGTGAACGTATGGTAGTATCTCTCTCTATAACCTGCCCATTGCATTTGAGTGGAAGTCCTTGCACAGGCTGCGTTGATGGATCTGGAAGTTACTCGTAAGTTCTCAAAGGCTAAGAAAGGCAGCAAACTGCCTTGAAGTCAGATCTGCCTCTTTCCCATGGAGAGGAGGGAAGGAACACCATTAGCTCAGGCCGCGTTTTTTTTTTGTTTTGTTTTTTGTTTTTGGGTTTTTTTGGTTTTTGTTTTTTGTTTTTTTTTCAGAGGCTAGTATTCTGAAAGGAGGATCTGTGGAAGAGGCAAGAGAGCTGTGCGAGCCAGCTCTGCTGGAAAGCTGAATTTGGTCCAAGCAGCAAAAGTTAGCAGCGAGGCTGCCTTTCTCTGGGCTTCATTTTTTTTTGCTCTAAAAATGTGAGCTGGTCTCACAGGGACCCCAGGTTCTGGATGGCTGTGGGAAGCTCTGGGAATCTCAGAGCACACTCCAAGTTGGGAACTGATGTGCGCTGAATCATACAGTGGTGATTTCACTGGCGACAGTGACCTCATTCCCTTGGCCCATAGGAATGCCAGACAGACTGCCAAGAATATTAGCGCTCTGGGGACGGTCACACCTGGTATGGCTATGGCTTGAAAAAGGGGGGTAGGGGAGCCTCTGCTCCCTTCAACTGGAATAAATAGACCTCTGCAAGACACTCTATTTCCCATGGGCAAAAGAAGAGAATGCCCAAGTGGTGAAACAGAACAAAACCAAAACCAGTTCTCAAATGTCAAGGACTCGGGGACAGGAAGCAACTTTGTTCTTAAGCATCCCATAGGCCTCTGCTTTTTCCCCCTTTTGTTCCAACTGTGAGCATTGAAACAGACACAGGTTTGTGTGGGAACAGTGAGCTTGTCTAGGCCGCCTTCTCTTTTCCCTCTACTCCTTCCTTCCTCCTCCTCATTGATTCATTCAGTACTTCATTTAACAAGCGTGAATTGAGGTCGACTAGAAGCCAGGCTTTCTTCCTGGCCAGGGGACTTAGAGCTGGCAAGCCACCATCGCTGGGGGAGGGGGGGAGCGGAAAGGACCTGATGGGCAAACAGATAATTGCCATGTAATGTAATCAGTACTGTGGTGGAGGAGAAAGGGCAGGCTTCTGGAAGAGCCGAGGAGCAGCCGTGCATAGCTGTGGGCATGCCGAGGAAGGACTTGCGGAAGTGCTATCATTGGCCTGGGGCTCGTGAGGCTAAAAAGAGAAGACCCGGGAAAGGCAGACAGCAGGCCCTGGCCAAGGGAGAGCAGCACACAATTTCTTAGGAACGGCAGCCATCTGAGGTGGACAGAGAGCAGACTTAGCGGTGCGTAGGAGCTGGTGATACTGCCTGTTTGTCAAACCTTATTGCCACAGGGACGCATACTGAGAGGACCATCTTTATCTACACAGCAAGAGACAAAGGTACCATCTAGGTGAGCCGTGGTCCTAAAAGCAAGGATATAGTGACCATCGCGAGCGAGGGAGGGATTGGCAGAGCACTGTGCGGGGCCTGGGTTGTGTTGTGCACGCGAAGGTCAGTGATGTAGGTAATCTTATTTTATCTCTGAAATACTTTGCAGGTTGAGACTTTTAGACAGCGGCTATTGCTCTGTCTAGGACAGCGCCACTTGCTTCTGATAAATATTCTTTGTAATTTCATCTCTGTCGTCATGTGACTAGGCAGGAAGCTCTTTCTTTCCACATCCTGCCTGAACCCTCGAGGACTAGCTCTACATGGGTACCACCACCAAGACAAGACAAGACACACATTTCCTGGAGTTTTCGAATTGGGAGTTCACAGCAGGACTTCTTTTTTCCGCTTTCACTGCATAGCTGGCTTGTGTGGGTCTGAAAACCATTGGCTATTCAGGAACTAGTCAGTGCAAGAAAGTGAAGCCAGAGCGGGGAAGAAGCCACGGTGGAGATGTGCTGCTCTTAAGGCATGTGTGCACACACACTTGCATGAATGTGCACACAGGGAAAGCTCATGTGGGTAATTTAAGTTCAGAATTCTTGTGCTTCTGTGGCTCTTTAGATAGCCAAACAGCTGGTATAGCATTCTCTCTCTCTCTCTCTCTCTCTCTCTCTCTCTCTCTCTCTCTCCTTTCTAGTTTCCGAAACAGGGTTTCTCTGTGTAGCAGTGCTAACTGTCCTGGAACTAGCTCTGTAGACCAGGCTGGCCTCGAACTCACAGAGATCTGCCTGCCTCTGCCTCCTGAGTGCTGGGATTAAAAGCAGCTGCCACCATTGCCCAGCACCACTCTCCTTTTTGCATAAATGAATTCTGACTCTAACAGCGCTCTCATTATAAGCTGAGGAAAGGAATATGCAAAGGCGTTAGGAAACTTGCTCAGTTACACAGCCAAGTAGCGGGGCTAAGGTTTGAAATGTCTTCCAGTCTTATGCTACTGGCTATATGTTCCCTGGCAGTGCGTCGAAGATTGTAGGCAAAGAAAAATGACAAATTTAGTCTGTCATTTGAGACCCCTCTGGGACTAGAGCATGGATTTGGTGAATAGGAGGAGACTAAGACAGAGGGAGGAGGGGAGAGATGGTGCTAGACTGAATAAAGTGGGACTGGAGAGATGGCTTAGAGGTTAAGACCACTGCCTGCTCTTCCAGAAGTCCTGAGTTCAATTCCCAGCAACCACATGGTGGTTGACAACCTCTCTAATGAGATCTGGTACCTTCTTCTGGCCTGCAGGCAGAACACCTTATATATATAAATAAATAAAAAAAATAAATAAATAAATAAATCGATCAATCTTTAACTGATTGAAGCATTGCCATGAGTATGAAGAAGAGAGTCAGGTTCGAGAATGTATATATGACAGAAACCCACGGGGCTTAACAGCATGGGAAGGGCTTCTGTCTTCCATTGACTGCTCCAACCAGCAGGTTTTCCTTGACTCAGTAATTAAAAGACTTAGACTTCCTCTGATTGGATCAATTCAGTTCATCCTTAAGCCAGTCACGGTAGTGAAATGTTGGATGGCTTTTGCCTAACACCCGGGTGACGCCTCATCCATAAAACCATCATTATGTAAAGGGGTTGGGACCTTTTTGGTCGGCTCTATCCACCCTTCCTACTGAGGCATGGGCTTCATTCTGACTAGATTCTGCACTTCCCACGTGATGGGCCACGGTTCCGGTTCCGAAGGAGGCTCTCTGCTGGAGAGGCAGCCAGCAGCGTCACTCACCTGGGCTGTTGCTCACCAGGGTTCGCAGGTCCCCCAAGGCTACAGTGGGAATGACAGTTTTAAAGGGAGAAGAAGTGTGTCAGGTCAGGTGCAGAGGAAGGTGACATGAGTCCATCACAAAGCCATGATTTGTTGCCAGCTCCAGTCTGTTGATTTGTCTCTGCAGGAGCCCGTGCTCACTCCGAGCCT